TTTTTTTTTTTGTAGTTTGGGTGTGAATTGACCCTTTAAAATGCTGACAATGAGATATGTTACTCTTTGGTGTAAATCCTGACCATCCCAGTAGAAACAGGGAGAGGATAAAGGTTTGCAAACCATAAACTGTGTTAAAATGTGTTGTTATGGTCTTAAATAACAACTCTACCTGACATATGCACAACATAATGCCAGGTCAACAAAGGTTTAAATTTGAGAGAAGGAAACAGACAGCCAGAGACAGAGAATCAAGGTATGGCTAGAGCAGAAATTGTATACTCAGGCCTGGATGAAGAAAACGAGAGAATTAGGTGGGTTTTGTGGTCGAGTGTTTGCCTAAAATGTCAAAGTGACGACAGGTAAGTACTACTTAAACAGCCATGTTTTGATGTTGCTCTCTGTGCTGCTGCCTGTGTGCGTCGGTTGTGTGTGTGTGTGTGTCCAGTGAAAATGGCTCACAAGGGAGGGCAGAGCTCTTAAAACAAGAGCACAGTCACTACAGACTGTGTTTTATACATCAGTGCAGGTCAGGGGCTGGAAGTGTGTGATTGTGGGCTAGCAGCTTATGCATGTATGTACTCCTGTATTCATACATCCATGTCATTGTGTTTCCAAATCCTTTAAATCTGGAAAAGTTGTTCAACATATTTTAACAAGACGTTCTGTTTTCTGTCTTCGTCTTTCTCTTGTTAATGACTATATAAAAGCCAGCAGCAGTTGGCAGCCTGAGTGGAATTTCTCAGCCTCTATAATATCTTAATGTACATATTTATATGTAGGCCCTTTTCACGTTACTCCATCCCCTACTCTCTGAAAACAGAGGATTTCCTTAGTTTGCTTGGCAGCAGGAGTCACAGGGGGAGATTCTTGGGTTTGGTTTCTCTTATGGAATTTTCTCATTTGTACTTCAGGCGTCAAGCCATAGGCCACTGCTGCTACAGTATATCTTCCTCATCAGTCATCTCTTCACCTCTCAGCAAGGCCTGTGCTCCTCATTTACAAATCTCTGTTGGCTACCGTTTCCTCCATTCGCATGTTTTCGAGGTCAGTTTGTTGCCTTTAGGTATTGTTTAATTGCTAGTAAATTACTCAGGCTATGAAGCGTGTTTATTTTCGATTTACTCACAGTTAAATCCTCTCTTCCGGGCAGTGGTGGAAGAAATATTCAGATACTTTACTTAAGTAAAAGTTATGCTACCTTGGGCGTCGGTTGGCTCGGTGGGTGGAGCTGGCGACCCGTGTGCCGAGGCTGAGTCCTTGCTGTGCAGCGTCCCAGGGCCGTTCGGAGCTCCCACCTGCGGGCCCTTTGCTGTGGTCGGCTCCCCGGTCTCTCTCTTGGCCTTTGCCTGGTCTGCTTCACGCCTGATCGGCTATAAGTAAAAGCAATTAAAAGAGTAGAATTGTCATTAGTGCAGAAAAGATGGGTTCATGTCAGTTGTGTCTTACTATTCAGCCGGATTGTTTTATTATGCGGTGTTTGTGTTTAATATTACTGCCCTGCCTATTTATTCTTGCCCATTAATGTGCCTGTGCTATGCTTTGCAGTTTCACTGCTGGCTGGATGTTTATGGCCCTTAGCCACATTTTAGATATGCTATCTTTTATCTGTACTGTTGGCATAGGTTTAAGCTCTACAGCAACTGCCCCTCTGATATGCTGTTTAGTTCGATGGGTGATATCAGCGGCGTTAGGCAACTCTGGTACTTATCCAGAAGGCCATCTTTGCAACACACAATAAAAGAACGCCTGCCCGAGATATGACACCAGAAAGCTAATAGCGTTTTGCGGTGCGCTAAGCAAACACACTATCCACGCAGGCTGGTGTGTGGGTGGGGGTGGTTTGGGTGGCGGTTTCATTTATTTTCCTGCTAAAAAAACTTTGTCTATTTTCTTTTTAGATTTGTTGCGAATTCCCATGTGCTGATTTGTAGTTAGGAGCGACTCGCAGAGAGCAGTAACCACAGCGCGTATGAGGTCTTGGCAGAATTCATCTATTTCAAAACGGCCGCTGGCCCAGCCCTCACGCACGCTAACTAATTTTATCTGCTTTGTGTAACGGGCTCTAGCACCATTGCTTCCGTCTCTCTTGCTTCCCTTCAAGTATTTTCAATGTATCCCTGAAGACATCAGTAGGCTGCGCCGAAATATTTGGTCTGCTCTGCAGGCAGCCAAACTCCAGCCCAGTGCTGCCCTTCCTGGTCTCTGGAGTCGCGCCTGTTCGTTTTTTTCCTGATCCGCAGCCTGATTCAGCCTTCTGATATCTGCTGGAAGATTTGTGCTGAGTGAACCTGTTTCATTCTCTCTTTTCACAGCCTCCGCTCAGCAAACATGGGGATAGCAATTCCCTGATTCAGGCCAAAAAGTCTTGCGTTGTTTGATCCCTCTTCTTGTTGGTGTTTTCGTCGCTTTCGCCCCCTTTTCTCTGCGCCCTCCGGTGGCGGTTTCTAATTCCCCTCTAATTTTATGATTGTGTATTGCTGTTATTTCGAGGCTTACCGTCTTTCTATTCTGTCTTCTGTTTTTAGAAGGTATTTGGTTTTCGTGCCCGTCTCTCGTTTTCTTCCACGCTTGTGCTCCAGTGGGTACTGGCCGTCATTGAACCGTCTGGCGAGGCAGAGGTGACCGCCTAGGGAGGCCAGTGCGATTAATGAGATCAGTGAGGTTTAGTCGCCAGTGCGACGCGATACCAAATACTTTGCGTCAGATGGCTTGACTATATGAAGGCCGCCTGCGTCAGATGCACATCGTGGATGGCCCCTGGGGGGGGTTTGGATTCGCCATCTTCACTCGTGCGAAGTTTTGGGTGCCGAGGAATGAAGCAAAGATGGGTTTTTGAAAAGATAAGAAAGCAGCAATGTTGCAACTCTATGATTGGGGCGGCGGCCCCCGAGGTCCAATAAGTTCTCAGAATCCCACGATGATTTATCAGCTTAGGGCTTTCAGTTTGAAAAAAAAGGTCCTACTCAACGATTATAATTATGGTCGTGGGGGGCGTCGCCCCATGACGCATAAAAAGAGATAAAAGGCATAAAATAATACGATATGTTTTTACTTGCTCCTATGACTTGGTATCTATATAGTTGGGGGGATTCATAATTCCAAGTGATCTTCTAGTCGTTGAGTTGTAGTACTTGATACAGTTCAGCAGTACATAGGTAATAGTAAATAGGATGAGGGAAGAA